CCTTGTGTAATTCCCGCACTTGAACACCAATTTCCGGTATCGGTGTTACTGATCTCACGCCAGCCAATGAAATTGATAATTTCATCCCGTTTCTCCAGAGTCATGCCCAGCACCTAACCTGCGAACGGGCATACTCTGTGTACGAGATTGAGTCAACACAGGATTTATACAACATGTTATAGATACAATAGAAACAGTCTATATAATTAATCAAAATTGTAAAAGCCCAAAATCATTTGGAAAACACGAAAATATTATTTCAGCCTTTGAATCATGTGCCTTAATAATCTGTGGACGATTCTGGCAATTCTAAACTTGAGAAAATTCTGAAAGTTGAAAGTTAAATTTGCAGCAAATTTATCTTTCGACTCACATAGTTCTTATCGATAAGACAAAACTCCATATCCTTTTCGATGTCAAAAATTATTTTTGAAAAATGTCTAAAAGTCCTACCTTATTTCTCGTAAAAGTGTACTCTTTTTTGAGATTTGTGTACATGATAAGTGAATTGGTTCGTTTTAATTACCCTTTTACATCGATCCAAGTTTCAACTAAAAGCGAAAAAAAGGATTATCTAACGAATTTATACATTCAAATCAAATCTCCATAAAAATAACTGAAAAGGGTACGATTATCGCTCAACTGCATCATTTTGGAAAATTACGAAAAAGGGTACCCTTTTCGGTCAACCATGTTATTTTGCAGTAAGACGAAACAGAGTACCCTTTTTGGTCAACTATGTTCTTTACATAGTAATATGAAAAAGGGTACACTTTTCTGTAAAATATGATGTTTTATAATAAGTCGAAAAAGGGTACCCTTTTTTATTTAATCTGTTGATACTCGATCGGATTAAAAATGGTTTGGAATTTTATCAACTGCGTTAACGCGTTAACACACGTTAAAGCATAGCGTTTAATTTAAGTGTATATCAATTCAAGAAGCAATATAATTTATTCGCTTATTGTCAAATCAAAATGGCGGAGCAAGATATCGAAGATGTGAAAAACTTTTTCAAGCAGCATTTTCCTGGGGTTGGTCGTGGTTTCTCGGAGAGAAACATTCAGTTATACTCTTCAAATCGTGAAATAAGGAAACTGGACAATTTTGAAGTGGACATCATGCATTATTCAACAGTCTATCAATGAGGTATTGTGTGCTGTAACTGATTATTTTAAATAGACATGTGTACGTATAGCGTTGGGTAATATTGTGAAGGCAAAAGAGTTTAATATTCATAATTATAGTATAGCGAGCTAACGCAACTGGAAAGACTTGTAATATATAATATAATTATTATAAGTCTTTCCATTTGCGTTAGCTTGCTATACTATTGTCTTCACAATATTACCCAACGCTATTTACGTATATACATATTTATTTAAAATAATCATGCAGTTACAGCACACAATACCTCATTGATAGACTGTTGAATAATGCATGATGTCCACTTCAAAATTGTTCAGTTTCCTTATTCCACGCTTTGAACTGCATGAATAACCGAATGTTTCCCTCCGAGAAACCATGCACGACTAACCGCAGGAAAATGCTGCTTGAAAATGTCGCTGATCATGCCGAAAAGTATAATTCTTTTGAACATAGTGTTTCACTTCTCCGATATTTTGTTCCAAATACTCCGCCATTTTGATTTGACAACAAGCGAATAAATTATATTACTTCTTGAATTGATATACACTTAAATTAAACGCTATGCTTTAACGTGCGTTAACGGGTTATCGCGTTAACGCAGTTGATAAAATTTCAGACCATTTTTAATCCGATCGAGGATCTACAGATTGAATAAAAAAGGGTACCCTTTTTCGTCTTATTATACAAGATAATATTTTACAAAAAAGGGTACCCTTTTTTATATTACTAGGTAAAGAACATAGTTGACCGAAAAGGGGACTTTGTTTTGTCTTACTACAAAATAACATTGTTGACCAAAAAGGGTACCCTTTTTCGTCAAATTAAAAAACGATGGAGTTGAGCGATAATCGTACCCTTTTCAGTTATTTTTATGGAGATATGATTTGTATAAATTTGTTAGATAATCCGTTTTTTTCGCTTTTAGTTGAAACGTGGATCGACGTAAAAGGGTAATTAAAACGAACCAATTCACTTATCACACAAATCTCAAAAAAGGGTACCCTTTTATGAGAAATAAGATATAGGGCTATTAGACATTTTTCAAAAATAATTTATGACATCGAAAAGGATATGGAGTTTTGTGTTATCGATAAGAATTATGTGAGTCGAAAAATAGATTTGCTGCAAATTTAACTTTCAACTTTCAGAATTTTCTCAATTTTAGAATTGTCGGAACTGTCCACTGATTCTTAATTAGTATCATTGAATGCAAATTGATTTTATTTACAGTATGCCTAGCAATTTGCCCAATTAATTTGGCCCAATATACATGACCAAATTAACCGCAACAATTTAAAGCGTAACAAAGAAGTAACTCACAAACTTTTGAGGCAAAGCTCGTTCTTTCAGTAGAAAAATTAGTGGCTTATTAATGAATAAAGGCTCTTTCCTAGACGATGAGATGTACAGCTACGTTAAATTTTAGTGCTTGTCAGCGTAATTTCAGTGCTTGTATATGTATATATATATATATATATATATATATATATATATATATATATATATATATATATATATATATATATATATATATATATATATATATATATATCGTCTTCCTGTATTCATATGTTGACTAAAAGGATAATAAGCTCTGCTGTGCATTTTGGTATAATCACGAATGGTTTCCTTAATTTATTGCTGAGCTGAAACTAAAATTGGCCGAGTGTAGTGTTCACAGGTTATTTATAGATTATAATTGTTTGTGGATAAACCGAATATACGTCCGGTAGGTGAATGATAAAAAAGAGACATTCAGAAAATACGGTCGCATTTGAATTACTTGAAAGGTTATAATTTCTATGTTAGCATGGAAGAAAATTTCAGAAAATTGGTTTCAAAATGTTTTATGGCAAAATCGCGTAATATCGAGTAATGCTTTGTACAAAACTTGGTTATTTTATTGGGCTTCATAACTCGGGTTCTTTAAGCAATGAATGCTTCCAAAGCATGAACAGTGGTTATTATTAAACCAATATCTTTAAAAATATTCTACCTTTTGTTATTAAATGCAGTGCAAGATTAACCATATGACAGAAGGGGCATATGGCACGTGCATGTCCCGCGATCACCCTTTCGACATTTTTATTCAACGTTTCGGCGCATGCGGGGCCCAACAAACATAATACTTAGCAGATAGATACTTTTATGTTATTTCTTGGTTTAAAATGTAAATATTAATAAGCTTACTGACCGAGAGTGAGGGCAGTACGGGAAAATATCCAATCGAGGTCTTGCTGTATTGACCGAGGGATAGCGAGGTCAATATACAGCAAAACCGAGGTTGGATATTTTCCCGTACTGCCCAGAGCAGTTGAGGTCAGTAAGTTTTTTATTATATGGCATTGTGAAAAGGTCACGTGAGGGCAAAGTACAATGTCCGAAACAGTTTGCAAAAAAAAAAACAATTGTAAAAAATGTTCTTTGGTCAGTAAAACTGCTCTACAGTATCTTTTATATAGAATACTAACACAGTTTGGATAGTATTTCAAGAAAAATACGAAGTATTTCATAATTTAATCAAAGACAACAAATATGAAAACAATAAATTCAATATTAAAAATTACAAAAACAAGTACGTTTTTAGTTTGCTTCATCACATAGTTACGTCTCTTTTTGCCTAACAAAAACAGAAATGTTCAGGGGAAAATTATAAATCTGTGGCAGTTTAGTTGTATTTTTTATTTAGAATGATGTCAAATTCCTCCTGACTATCTGCGCATGCAAATAAAATTTGCAGCTCTTCGCATTGTCAAAACACAACTATTCCTGACTGCCTTTATAATTATAAACATTGTAAAATTTACCTTGTAATTTTGACTTTCGCTAACAAAAACGTATGGAGAAAGTTCTTTAACAACAGCAGTGGCTCCTCTTTTTATTTTAGGTTTATTTTTCTTCGTTTGGATAGCTTTGAAAGATTTTAGACACTTTTTGCTGTTTGAAACTCGGGTCTTGTTGCAGGGAATACAAATTACGTATTGCCCGTGGGCAATACGGGAAAATTCTGCCTCGTCAGCAGCCAATGAAATTGCGCGATTCATCAAAACAAATGCTTGCCATATAATAACAATTATTCGCCGAATGCGAAGTGATTACCAGTGAATATTCACCGTAATCACTGAGCCTGAGGCGAATAATTGTTTTAGTATAAATTTTTAATGAATAAAAGAAAGTATCCGAATATCAGTTCAATTAAATTTCAGAAATAAAACTGTTTTTGGCCTGTTCACTAATAGTGCTGCAGTGTTTCTTGTACGCACACCCTTTCAAAATGGTTTCTTGTGAGACTTTATTGCTGTATTACAAAGTTATTTTCTCGATTTCTGCTTTGAATATAAACACAATAACAGAATGACTCTTTCACCAGACATAACAAAAGAAATAGTATCGTACAATTTAGGAAATCTATATACGGCATAAAAAATAAAGTGGATTTTAAAGCTAGAATATCACGGCAAGGTTCATCCCAAAATTCGGGATGGTTTTTGCTATTTGTTTGAAGTGATTGTTTCGAAGTTTTAATTAAATAAGTTTTAAATTCTCCGTGAATACGTTTGACACAGTAAACTAAATAAAGGAATCCTACTTTTCAAGTTAAATACAACTTTTTGTGCTTCTTTCGTTTTCTGTGGACGATTTTTTCAATCTTTCTTAATTTTGTAAATAAACAGCAAACTTTTCAACGTATGAAAGATAACAGAATATTTTTTATATATTTTTGGGCTTTCTGAATGCAGTGTTTACAATGCGGGTGCGATTTTTTTTTGGGGGGTGGGGGGATTCAAGGAGCGCGCCACAATAATAGACACAAGTCTACCATAGCAATGTTAATCCGGCCCGGATTACAAATGTGTGCTTTTCGTTATTACAATTGCTTGCAATCCAAACCACTGATCGTGGTCGTTTTAACAAAACAAATATATTCATCGCCATGCAAATATACAACTTTAAATGCATTACTACAACGTAGCTTATCACACAATCCTGTTCCTGATTGTATAGATAATAATTATTGTCGAGATGATATTAATTTGGATTTCCTTGATGTTGTTCTTCACATTGACTGTTGCTGTAAAACAGGTACGCATAAGGTATATTTGAAGACACTTTTCCCCCAATGAAATAATCTGGCTACAATGAATTTTACACGGTATATTTATGCAATTATTATACGTATTTGTAGTAGTAGGTGTTCACTATTTGTATAACGAGTGTAATAAAATATTTAGAATAAATAACGGATAAGGCTTAACTAATTTTCTCTGTCAGGCCAAGTCAAATTCAATATTCTATTTTCCTTTTTTTAGCCAAAGTGTTCCACCTCTTGCAATGGTATCCCAGGAATACCTGGCGTACCTGGATCGTCTGGAACGCAGGGAATGCCTGGAACAAAGGGGGACATGGGTTCCACAGGTCCTGTTGGGACAAAAGGTGCTCCTGGAGAAAAAGGATCGGACAGTGGCTTGTATTCTAACTGGAAGCAATGTGCTTGGGCTCGGTCAGATGGCAAAGATAACGGATTGATACAGGTTTGTTAAAAGCTGAAATCAACTGCTACAAATGAATAAGAGCACGAGCCCTCAACCTTTCTTTGTTGTGGGTATCACATCATACAGATATAATGTTTGGTATGCATGAGTTAGAGCTTACAAATACAATTCTTTATATTTCAGTACCTATTTCATTAAATTAATAGGAAACTTTTATTCATTGCTAATTTTTCCCCCAAAGGAATGCTTGTTCAACAAGAAACACCATGATTCTTCACTTAAAGTCTCTTATGGCGGTAATTTACGTATATACAACTGCAATAGTTGTTGCAAACGTTGGTATTTTACTTTCAATGGAGCTGAATGCAAGAAACCATTGGCAATTGATGGTGTTTTTTACATGGCAAGAGGGGCAGGAGGTCATGGAGATATTCATCGCCACCGTTACATTGAAGGATACTGCAATAAAATTCCAATCGGTATTGTTCGTGTTGGTTTCTGGGTTGGGAATTGTAATGGTTATGGAAATGCTGATGCCCATTCTGGTTGGAACTCCATATCTCGTATTGTGATTGAAGAAGTTCCACCAGCACAACCTTAACAGATGAACGTATTGCTTGAATATTATATTTACTTTCGTTGTGACTTGGGACTTTTTAGAACGGTTGACTTCCACAATTCTTATTAAATGGTCGTGCAATGACATTAAATATTAATTCTCACTAAGTTGTGATTATGTACATCAGTACATGTAGTACATATATGTATATGAGCTAATAGCCGACGAGGTGCGTAGCACCGAGTCGGCTATCAGCCATATACGACGAGAGCGAATGGTATAATTGTTTTATAACATAGTCTAATATAGCCATTAACTGAAGCAGTAATTAATTATTCACTGTTACAATGTGTTGACAATTTGTTCGGCCAAAATCCGCTTGAAAACTTGAAATACTTTTGTTTTACAACTCGAAGACGAAGTGAAAGAAATGGTTTTAGAACCTCTATATCTCACAGGAAAGCTCAGATATATTATACAGATGTTTGGCACTATAGTAAGTGCTTGTTGACTGCAAATTCATTTGTCGTTCATTGCAAACTTTTCTGAACAATTTATATTCTCAATGAACATGATTTTCGCTGTTGTTTCGGTATTAATTCTTTAAAAAACTTGTATTTAAACTAATTTCTACGTAATAAATGTATTTTGCTAACTTGTCAATTTTTTTTTGAGAGTTTTTCCTTGTGCTATTATGTTTCTCAAAGCGAATATTTTCCTTTTTCTGCTTCGCAAAACTCGTGTAGTTTTTGGACCGTTTTTTTCTTGTTTTTCGCTACTCGCCGTATATGAGCTGATATACGGCGAGTAATTCAACCAATCAGATTGCAGAACAGCTCATATACGGTCGATGACTATATATATATATATATATATATATATATATATATATATATATATATATATATATATATATATATATATATATATATATATATATATATATGT